GTATTCATAGTGACCCATGTGTGTTTTCAAAGTTGTTTTTAGAATGTCCTCCTTTACCATTCTAATCTAATGATAGCTAGACCTCAAGTCTATTTTAGAGAAAATTATTGCACTTGCCAATTCATCTAGTAAGTCATCTATGATTGGTATAGGAAATTTGTCCTTGATAGTATGCTGATTCAATTCCTTGTAATCTACACATAGCCTCCAGGATTCATCTTTTTTGCCTACAAGGACCACAGGGGAAGAAAAGGGATTGCTGCTGTATTGAATGATCCCTTGTTGTAGCATTTCTTGAACACGCTTTTCTATAATATTTTTTTTCATGGATGAATGCCTGTAGGGCTTGATGTTAACATATTTAGATTTTGGTTGCAAGGGTATCTAATGATCAAATGGACTCCTGATAAGAGGTAGTGAAGTAGGTTCAACAAAGATCTGGGAGTACCTTCTAAGTAGGTGCTCGTGAGGAGCTGGAATACTATGCTCGTTAGCCAAATGAAGAGCATTAAGTTGAGTTTTGTTTGTTGATGTAGGCTAAGTTGTGACCACATGTAACATGAAGAGTTGGACCTCCTCACTTTTCAGTTTACTTATTCCTTTAGAACTGAGCACCTTATATTCATCAGTGACACCTTTCAATAAATGGAACTTGCCTGGGTAGTTGAATGCCATAGTGAGCTTAGAATAATCCATAGTGACAGGCCCCAAGGTGTTCATCCATAAAGAACCCAACCAAGTCATACTTACCTACTAGAAACACAATCAAATCAGAATTGAAGGTAGTACCCTGCTGGACCAATTCAAAGTTCCTCACCACTCCCGAAGTAGCTTCCAAAGTATTGTTTCCCAGGCTCACATATCCTACCTTAGTAGGGTGAATTGTGCATCCCAATCTCTTAGGAAACTTTTCATCAATGAAGTTGTGGGTGCTTCCACCATCCAATAAAATTTGAATTAGTCGCCTATCACTGTATCCAGTCACATAGATGGTCTGAGCGTCCTGTAACCCATTAAGAGCACACAAGGAAATCATATGAGTGTCACCTTCAGAGTTGAATCATCCTTCTTTAGGTGAATCATACTCAGATTTAGACAAGTCTTCCTCCACCAGTTCTTCCTCAAGGAATTCTAAATCTATAACAAACATTTGCTTGGAAAGGTTACATTTATAACCTGGAGTATACTTTTCATCACAAAAATAGCAAAGGCCTTTAGCTCTCCTAGGTTGCATCTCAGCAGGAGATATGGTTCTTATAGTTCTAGGAATGTTGGTAGTGTTTGATGCTAGTAAGGCTAATTTGGGCATAGGAGTTGGAATAAGGTAGCTAGGTTTATGTGGAGGTGGTACATAGGTTGGTTTCTTCATAGGCAAAGGAAAGCCAGTTGAGGAATAGTGTTTGTGAGCTTTGGCATTAGCTGCTAAGGTTGCCTCAAACAATCTAGATAACCTATAAGTTTTAGAGAGTGTTTGAGGTTCATGCATATTCACAGGATTCACCAATTCTTCCTTTAAACCTCCTAGAAAGCAGGAAATAGCTTGACTAACAGATAGATCACATTAGGGGTATGCATTCGATTTATCGATTCGATTTTGACCCTCATCGATAATTACTTATCGATTATCGATTTGTACATATGCTTATCGTTATCGTTTCAATAAGGTTTCGATTTTTTCGATTTCGATTTATTGATTTTTGGGGCTTATCGATTCGGTTATCGATTACACCAATAAGAAAATTTGCGGGATTCTACGGAAAGTATATTGCTATAAACACGCCTAACTAATATGGACAAAAAGAAGCTAAAATAAGACGAACACCGTTTATAACATAAAACTTATGTCAACAAGAACATGCAACGAAACTAAAGTAAGGTATCAAATGTATGCCACTAACACTCCAACGGTATAAAAAAATAAAAATACATCATTACGGCTAATTCTATTTTCCATTAATTTGAACTTCATTCCCTTGAGATTTAAATATGATCATTCCTTAAATGTGGTAGATGAAATAATAGGGTTAGGGACTTAGGGTAAAGGAAAGGGTATTATAGAATAAGGGTAAAAAAAAATTTAGTATATCTTATCGATTTATCGATAAACCGATAACCGAAGAGGACAAAATCGAAATCGAAATCGATAACTCGATAAGAAAAATTTCGAAATCAAAATCGAAATCGATAAATCGATAAACTGATATCAATAAACCGATAACAAATAAGCGATTCGATTTATCGATAAACCGATTCGAATGCACACCCCTAGATCACATGAGCAAGCAATCGTGCAAAAGCTAGTTGGAATTCCCTCACAGATCCAATTTGCTTTAACTGTTTTAGTTCTAACATTGGATTTGCAAATTCTTCACTGAATGTTTCCACTAAAGCAGCCAAATATTCCTCCCAATTAGGTGAAATTACCGAGTCTCTACATTTGTGATATGATTGGTACTAAACTAATGCCTCATCATCAAAATTCATTGCAACCAAGTCGACCTTTAGGTTATTAGGTGTATTATCAACAGTAAAGTATTGTTCACTCTATACAACTATGTTTTTAGATTTTTTCCATTGAATCGAGAAAATAACATATTATTTTCATGACCATTGAAATTAGTGCAGTAAGGGTTAGGACCTAAGGTACCTTTTGAGCTCCCTGATCTCTGTTATTGGAAGTTGGTGCATTCTCTCGAGGTTGTTGCAGTAACTGCACTCCATCAATGGAGCTTTTGAGTGCTGACCATCTGAATCATCTCTATGTGCCTGCGATCCATGTAATCCCTTAAATCCTGTGTTTTTTGATCAATTATAGCTCGCAAATCCACCTGTTGTGCTGCCAGGACTTCATTCAGCTCTTGTAAATCAAATATTGGATTCTTACTGACAACATCTACTACTTTGCGAGGACCCATTGCTTACGCAAGCTCTAATACCAATTGATACCAAATTGGTATCAAGTCGAGCAATGGAACAGTGATTTAAAAATAAGAGAAGAAGAAAGAAGAGCATCAGAAGAAGAGAAATCAGATTTGTATTATGATAACTGCATAAGGTCTCTATTACAATCACCCTACTTATACTAATTGAAAATTAAAAGGAATTCAAAATAACAAGTGCATAAAATGTGACTCTCTTAACTAACTTTCCCGCCAAACTGAAATGTGAAAGAAGAGGTCTATATGCCGTTTGAATTGTCGAGCCAACTGCCTAATAAGCCATCCACGTCACTTGCAGTTCTTATTTGTGTATCAATTTATGTTAATTCTGTAAGTACGTAATTTTTGACCCATCACGTTTTTGAGTTATTTTTAGTGTTTAAAATATTTATTTAACTTAATTTTAATTTTTATGGAGTTTTAGTCAATTTTTTACTTCAAATTACAATTTAAAAATACAAAAAATATTTCATCTTTAGTTTAAGGTCAAGTAGTATATTTATATTTATAGTATTTTACCATGACTTTAGCCTATTTTCTCTACTTTTTACTTTATTATAAAATTTGAAAATACAAAAATAGTTTTAATTTTAATATTTAATTTTATTTTAGTAGTTTATTTTAATTAATTTAGAGTGATTTTTATATTTTTATAAATACATTATGTTATTTTAGTCTTCTTAACACAAATTTAAACCCAACAAGAAATGGGCCCAACCCAATTTTCCTAAATCCAAGCCCAAATCCCCCCTACATCTTCTCATTCTTGAAGGGGAGGGACGGAAAAAGAAAAGAAAAAGGAAAAAAGGACATGAAAGACGGAAAAAAAAGGAAAAAAAATGAAAAGCAAAGAACGCCCAGCGACGGAGGGTGGAGATCCCCTCTAGTGATAATTTGTCCATTATTGGTCAATACACTTACTGATTTGTGCCATGTGTCTACCCAATCAATTCATGACTAAGATTAAATAGGTCACTAAACAACTAAAAATAGTAATGCAATTTCATATAAATAAAATAACAAAAAGTTTAATGCTAACGGTGTCAGTCTAGTTTCACCTTACTTGCACTTTTCTCTCACTCAATACAACATGCAGGCCCCACCATGATGTCATAACTAGTAAAATGATCTCCATAAAATAAGTGTAAGAAAAGTAAAAAAAATTAAAGTGGCAGGAATTCATCTTACCAGTTATTTAACCGCCAAAAAACAGTCCATCATCTCATTCCTTTTATAAAAGATTATGAATAAGAAATCAAAGATCTGCATTTATCTTTCTAACTAATTATATATTGTAGATTTATAAGAATATTGCTTTCTATTCTTTTCCTAAGAAACCAAAAGCGCCATTGTTATTAAGATCAACTTCGTAGCAGTTGAAGAATTTTTGAAAGACAAGGTTCTACTCTTTTTTTTTACTAGACTTATTTAGTCTTATTAAATTTGATTAATTAAGGTACTGTACTTATTTTATATTCTTTGGAAGATGCATTACATCTGTTCTAGTATAATATTTTTTCCTTTACATATTAGAATTCAAATGCAACACGTTTAAATAATTTTTTTAAATAAATTTATAACAAGTTTATATATTTCTAGTTAAACTATTCAAAACTTAATGATATTTCTATGTTTTGTATTCTTTTTCTTTTGAAGTATAATGGACAATTGTGGAGAAAGCAAGTGTGAAGCTACTGCCGAAGAAGTTTTAAAAATAATTTTCAAGGGTCAATAGATCGTGAGCCTGCACTTGGTCTTGAGTTTGACGATGATGAGAGTGCATTTAATTATTACAATGAGTATGCAAGAAGGATTGGTTTTAGTGTTCGCAAAGAGTACGTGAACATAAATAAGAAATTGGGTTATGTAACATCACAAAAGCTTACATGTTTCAAGGAGGGTTTCCGTGGAGATGATAAACGAAAATATCAAGCTAAAAATCCACAAAAAGAGACTAGAACAAGATGTCAAGCTCATATTGTTGTTACTCGCGAATCTGTTAGAAAGTACCATATTACTAAGGTTGAGTTAGAACATAACCATCCTCTCGTTTCATCGACAATGATTCACATGTTGCCATCACACAGAAATTTGAACGACGTACAAACTCATGAAATCGATTTGGCGGAGGATGCTGGATTATTTTCTAAAGGAACTTTTGATTTTATGAGTCTTCAAGCTGGTGGCCGAGCAAATTTGGGCTATACTAAGTTAAATCATAAGAACTACCTTCGAACCAAAAGGCAAAAAGCTATGGGACAAGGAGAAGCAGGCAAATTACTTGTTCAAATTGCCTAATAATTTTTTATTTAGTCTTTGGAATGTGATTTTCTCATATTAAAAATAGCACATACATACTTATTTTTGGTATTTTCTTCCGGGAGTACTATTAGAATATTTTGAGAAAAAAAGAGTTGAAGATCCATCTTTCTTTTTTGCGGTACAGTTGGATGTTATTGATATGATCACAAACATATTTTGGGCAGATTCTAAGATGATAATAGATTATGAGATTTTTGGAGATGTGCTTTCATTTGATAGTACGTACCAGACAAATAAAGAGCATAGACCTTTGGATAGTTTCGTTGGATTTAATAACCATAGAAAAATGATTATTTTTGGAGGTGCACTAATGTATGATGAGATTTCAGAATCTTTTCAGTGGTTGTTCGAAACATTTCTTAGAGCAATGTCTGGAAAAACACCAAAAACTCTTTTTACAGATCAACATGCTGCTATGAGTAAGGCCATCTCATTCGCCATTCCTGTAGTTCATCATAGGTTGTGTGTTTGGCACATGGAACAAAATGCTGCAAAACACCTCAATCAAGTTTAGAAAAGTACGCTTCTTTCCGTGGTGATTTTAGAAAATGCATTTACGAGTATAAGGATGAAGGAGAATTTATAAATGCTTGGACTGCTATGCTTGATGAATATAATCTTCATGAAAATGAATGGTTTCAAGGAATATATGCTTTGAGAGAAAAATTATTTGCAACATATAGAAAGCAAACCTTTTCCGGTGGCATGAATAGCACACAATTAAGTGAGAGTTTGAATAGTGAATTAAAGAATTATTTGCAGTCTGATTATAATTTGGTATAGTTTTTTAAACATTATGATAGAGCAATTGAGGACAAAAGATATAATGAGCTGCAAGATACATGTGATGCATCACAACGGTTGCCAGTATTAAAAGCAAAGGTGCTAATTTTGTTTCATGCTAGAGAGGTATATACACCAAATATGTTTTCGAAGTTTCAAGATGAATATATGAAGTCTTTAATAATTAAAGAGAATGGATGTGAGGAAAATAACTTTCCCATCATGTATAAGGTTAGCAAGTATGGGCACACTCGAGAGCATATTGTCAAGGTGACAGAGGCAGATCATATATCTTGTACTTGAATGAAGTATGAGTCTATGGGTATACTTTGTTGTCATATAATAAGAATTCTTGATGTGATAAGAGAAGTGGATAAAATTCTATATGAGTATATTTTGAAAAGATGGACAAAAACTGCAAAAGCCGTAAATATTAAAGAAATTGATGGGCAAGATATAGAGATCAAGGATTCAAAGCTAATCATTGTAAATCGTTATAGAATCATTTGTCCTATATTTGTTAGAATGACAGCTAAAGCTTCTGAAACAGATGAAGGCTATAAGCTAGCGGCAACATGTGCAAATGAGTTAAGTGCAAGATTGAAACAAATTATGGAGGTGACATCTCCATCTCTCCATACTACTGGTTTAATGAGAGATTTACCAGAAGAAAATAATGACAGAGATCTCCTCTCACGAGCCAAAAGTTTTAAAAAGAAAGATAACACAAAACATCTGAAAAAGAGGATCAAAACTTCTCTTGAAGTGAACTCAAAGAGTAAGAAAGCTCGAGGAAAGAAGTCAGATTCTATTAATCAAGATGGATCTACAGTTAATGATAGAACTAAAATTGATTAACGAAATTGTATCAACCAGGTATATCATATTTTATTTCAGTTCATAATTCGAATATTTGATATTTACCAACTATTATAATGTTACACAATTATAATATTTCTTATATTTATTCGTAGGATTTAACAAGAGATGAAAACTTTTTTTACAATTCTAATTTAAGTGTCTCTCAAAGTATGGCCTGTGCCAACTTATCCCAGCACTCCAAGTTTTCAAGGAGGGTTTCCGTGGAGATGATAAACGAAAATATCAAGCTAAAAATTTACGAAAAGAGACTAGAACAGGATGTCAAGCTCATATTGTTGTTACTCGCCAATCTGTTGGAAAGTACCATATTATTAAGGTTGAGTTAGAACATAACCATCCTCTCGTTCCACCGACAATGATTCACATGTTGCCATCTCACAGAAATTTAAACGACGTACAAACTCATGAAATCGATTTGGCGGAGGATGCTGGATTATTTTCTAAAGGAACTATTGATTTTATGAGTCTTCAAGCTGGTGGCCAAGANAGTACCATATTATTAAGGTTGAGTTAGAACATAACTATCCTCTCGTTCCACCGACAATGATTCACATGTTGCCATCTCACAGAAATTTAAACGACGTACAAACTCATGAAATCGATTTGGCGAAGGATGCTGGATTATTTTTTAAAGGAACTTTTGATTATATGAATCTTCAAGCTGGTGGCCAAGAAAATTTGGGCTATACTAAGTTAGATCATAAGAACTACCTTCGAACCAAAAGGCAAAAAGCTATGGGACAAGGAGAAGCAGGTAAATTACTTGATCAAATTGCCTAATAATTTTTTATTTAGTCTTTGGAATGTGATTTTCTCATATTAAAAATAGCACATACATACTTATTTTTGGTATTTTCTTCCAGGAGTACTATTAGAATATTTTGAGAAAAAAAGAGTTGAAGATCCATCTTTCTTTTTTGCGGTACAGTTGGATGCTAGTGATATGATCACGAACATATTTTGGACAGATTCTAAGTTGATAACAGATTATGAGATTTTTGGAGATGTGCTTTCATTTGATACTACGTACCAGACAAATAAAGAGCATAGACCTTTGGATAGTTTCGTTGGATTTAATAACCATAGAAAAATGATTATTTTTGGAGGTACACTGATGTATGATGAGATTTCAGAATCTTTTCAGTGGTTGTTCGAAATATTTCTTAGAGCAATGTCTGGAAAAACACCAAAAACTCTTTTTACAGATCAACATGCTGCTATGAGTAAGGCCATCTCATTCGCCATGCCTGTAGTTCATCATAGGTTGTGTGTTTGGCACATGAAACAAAATGCTGCAAAACACCTCAATCAAGTTTAGAAAAGTTACGCTTCTTTCTGTGGTGATTTTAGAAAATGCATTTACGAGTATAAGGATGAAGGAGAATTTTTAAATGCTTGGAATGCTATGCTTGATGAATATAATCTTCATGAAAATGAATGGTTTCAAGGAATATACGCTTTGAGAGAAAAATTATTTGCAACATATAGAAAGCAAACCTTTTCCGGTGGCATGAATAGCACACAATTAAGTGAGAGTTTGAATAGTGAATTAAAGGATTATTTGCAGTCTGATTATAATTTGGTACAGTTTTTTAAGCATTATGATAGAGCAATTGAAGATAAAAGATATAATGAGCTGCAAGATACATGTGATGCATCACAACGGTTGCCAGTACTAAAAGCAAAGGTGCTAATTTTGTTTCATGCTAGAGAGGTATATACACCAAATATGTTTTCGAAGTTTCAAGATGAATATATGATGTCTTTAATAATTAAAGAGAATGGATGTGAGGAAAATAACTTTCCCATCATGTATAAGGTTAGCAAGTATGGGCACACTCGAGAGCATATTGTCAAGGTGACAGAGGCAGATCATATATCTTGTACTTGAATGAAGTTTGAGTCTATGGGTATACTTTGTTGTCATATAATAAGAATTCTTGATGTGATAAGAGAAGTGGATAAAATTCTATATGAGTATATTTTGAAAAGATGGACAAAAACTGCAAAAGCCGTAAATATTAAAGAAATTGATGGGCAAGATATAGAGATAAAGGATTCAAAGCTAATCATTGTAAATCGTTATAGAATCATTTGTCCTATATTTGTTAGAATGACAGCTAAAGCTTCTGAAACAGATGAAGGCTATAAGCTAGCGGCAACATGTGCAAATGAGTTAAGTGCAAGATTGAAACAAATTATGGAGGTGACATCTCCATCTCTCCATCTCTCCATACTACTGGTTTAACGAGAGATTTACCAGAAGAAAATAATGACAGAGATCTCCTCTCACGAGCCAAAAGTTTTAAAAAGAAAGATAACACAAAACATTTGAAAAAGAAGATCAAAACTTCTCTTGAAGCGAACTCAAAGAGTAAGAAAGCTCGAGGAAAGAAGTCAGATTCTATTAATCAAGATGGATCTACAGTTAATGATAGAACTAAAATTGATTAACGAAATTGTATCAACCAGGTATATCATATTTTATTTCAGTTCATAATTCGAATATTTGATATTTACCAACTATTATAATGTTACACAATTATAATATTTCTTATATTTATTCGTAGGATTCAACAAGAGATGAAAACTTTTTTTACAATTCTAATTTAAGTGCCTCTCAAAGTATGGCCTGTGCCAACTTATCCCAGTACTCCAAGTTTTCAAGGAGGGTTTCCGTGGAGATGATAAACGAAAATATCAAGCTAAAAATTTACGAAAAAAGACTAGAACAGGATGTCAAGCTCATATTGTTGTTACTCGCCAATCTGTTGGAAAGTACCATATTATTAAGGTTGAGTTAGAACATAACTATCCTCTCGTTCCACCGACAATGATTCACATGTTGCCATCTCACAGAAATTTAAACGACGTACAAACTCATGAAATCGATTTGGCGAAGGATGCTGGATTATTTTTTAAAGGAACTTTTGATTATATGAATCTTCAAGCTGGTGGCCAAGAAAATTTGGGCTATACTAAGTTAGATCATAAGAACTACCTTCGAACCAAAAGGCAAAAAGCTATGGGACAAGGAGAAGCAGGTAAATTACTTGATCAAATTGCCTAATAATTTTTTATTTAGTCTTTGGAATGTGATTTTCTCATATTAAAAATAGCACATACATACTTATTTTTGGTATTTTCTTCCGGGAGTACTATTAGAATATTTTGAGAAAAAAAGAGTTGAAGATCCATCTTTCTTTTTTGCGGTACAGTTGGATGTTAATGATATGATCACGAACATATTTTGGGCAGATTCTAAGTTGATAACAGATTATGAGATTTTTGGAGATGTGATTTCATTTGATACTACGTACCAGACAAATAAAGAGCATAGACCTTTGGATAGTTTCGTTGGATTTAATAACCGTAGAAAAATGATTATTTTTGGAGGTGCACTGATGTATGATGAGATTTCAGAATTTTTCAGTGGTTGTTCGAAACATTTCTTAGAGCAATGTCTGGAAAAACACCAAAAACTCTTTTTACAGATCAACATGCTGCTATGAGTAAGGCCATCTCATTCGCCATGCCTGTAGTTCATCATAGGTTGTGTGTTTGG